CTGAGTTTACTTTTCATTAAAGTACTTTCTTAGTTCATCTGAAGCACGACCTGGAGCTGCCTGGACCAGCCCGTCCTCTGCTGCCGGAATCCAGCACCGAGGCCGTGTGTTGGCCTGCGAGCCACAGGGACCCTGACGCTGAAGTTCCCGTCTGCAGGATGGGTTCCTGCCTGTCCTTTGTAGTGACGGGTCTGCTCCCGCGCTGCCTGGGTAACAGACGCAGATGCCTCTGGTAAACCCAGCAGCAGCAGTGTTGCTTTTTCGTGCCAGTCATGATTTGGTTGCCTCTGACCAAACACACTCCTGGCTTTTGTCCTTTCTGAATCCTAGTTTTTGGTGACTGTCCTTACATGGCAATATTTGTTTTTTGTTGTTGGTCTTAGAACCTGTCACATGAGTGGCCCTGACAACTTCATCAAAGCGTTATTACTGCATGTGCCACCCTTGCCTTGACCACGGTGTTGGGCCGGTTCCCTGAGCGCATGGGTCCGTCTCTCTCTCAACGCAGCCGGCAGTGACCCCCGGCTCTCTGCTGGGTGCTTAAACGTTGATCACGTGCACCAGACGCATTTCACATGATTTCCCCCGTATCTGTTCAGACTGAAACTCAGTGTGTTTCCTCACAGCTTAGAAGCCCCGGTCGATGCTTCCTGAGAGCTTAATATTCTGCAACCTGACGCTCTCACGCCATCGGCCTGTGGACTCAGAACGCGTGGCCAGTGTGCGGGGCAACGTTGCGTACACTCAGGGATTCAGGAGACATCCATTTTATTCCTGCCTTTTCCCTCCACCTGTGAACAAGTGACCACGGTTGTGTAATTGTTATGCCCTATTGTGGATCCTTTTCGGATGCTTTAAAGACCTAAAGAGTTAAGGTCACTGGTTTCCCTCGTCCTCCTCAACATCGGTTCATTACTTGGTGGGATGCCCCTTCCCTGGGTGTCCAGACTCTCCTTCACTGAGAATTACAGGAAAGCTGCAAGTTTGAGTCTCGCTAATGTGTTGTTTTTATTTCATCTGTGACCATTACTGCATAGTTACAGGAACAGCCTTTCAAAATTAGAGCAGGAACACGTGAGCCCATTCTAATGAGTCGTAGCAAAATGAGAAGGACGTCTTGTCCAGCAGGGTTCGGGCCGAGGGCAGTTTCCTCCCAGGGGGTGGGAGCATTTGAGTTTGAGAGGAGACAGCATCTTTGAAAGAGGCACTTTATTTCAACATTATGTTGCATTTCTGTCATGAAACAGTCGCTGAGCATCATCAGCGGACAGTGCACACAGCTCATGCTGCTCAGAATCCTGGCCATCGACTTTCTTCAGGTGGGCCCTCACGGAAGGCCACCAGTAACAGTGACCTTGATGAGGGTGTAGCCAGCCTAACGAAGCTCTGTGTTGAAACAGCCTGGAATTGATTGACATAATTTTAAAAGCATTTCTTGCTGAAGTTTCCAAGGGAAAAATGGTGACCGCTCTTCTTACGTCCGGATCATGTTCTTACTCCAATCTTGAAAAATGTTTCTAATGATGAATTTCACATTCTTACCACAATAAGAAGAAATGTCTTTTTTATTGTCTGCATGTTGAAGTCAGAGCAATAGAAAATAGTAGGCAAATTTATATCAATTCCCAAGTTGTAGCTTTCATGGGCCCAGCTTTTTTCTGATATAATTTGTACGTACAAGAGGTAAAAGAACTCTTTACATTTTTGACTGTTATTTGAACCCTTCTGACTAGCAAGTTTGTGAAGGATAGTCCCATATGTAAGGGTCTGGTAATTTTAATTTGCTCCGTCTTTTAAAACACACTCAGTTTTGAGAAACTGATACATACGATGGCAGTATCTACTCCGCAAAAGGCAAGAACATTCAAATGAAAAGTGAAAAATGGAATCAATCATTCAGATGCTTCAAATGTTTGGCATATGTAGAAATTCCATCTGAATGACTAGCTGTTTCTTAGAAAGTATTTTTGCAGAGCTGACCCTGAGAAGATGCCTGCAATTACTTATGTACATCCTTGAGAACATGGGTGAAATTTAAGTTGAGTTGATTCCTAAATGTGCTAAGGATGTTTGTTCTTTAAAAAATCTGGTTAATTTATTTTTAAAGCAAATAAGCACTTCATGAGGAAAATCGCTATTCATCTTTTTGTAAATTTAAATTTATGTCACTACATAGAAATGGATTTTTCAAACAATCTTGGACGTTTCAGAGTTATTTTGATTATTTCTTTTCATTTTTACAATAGTTATTTTAATCCTAATGTTTAAGTTACACTAAGCTCCATAAGAACATTGTGATATTTGCAGATAAACAAAAATGCTGTGTTTACTGCCGTGGAATTCCGCATCCCGAGCCTCGTTACCACCAGGCGGACTTGGCTGCACTCGAGTGCGGGGTGAGGGCAAGGGGTTTGGAAAATCTGTGAAAGTAAAACCACTGCTCAGGAAAGATGCACCTTTCTTGACGTCATTCTCATCTTCATTGTTCATCACATTCCGTGAAATCTTTGCAGCGTGTCCACATTCTCTGTGTGTACACTGTCCTTTCCAAAAAGCTGACCTCTAATGGTCAGATCAAGTAAACAAGACTCAAGCAGGAAAAAGCCACACACGGGCCCTGATTCCCTTCTCCCTCCCTGGTGATGGTTCCACTGCTGAAACCATTCCCATGACCCAGCGTTGGCCACCAGGTGCAGCGGTGCCGCTGGCCGCTGGCTCCCCGGCCCCTCCTCACCCCCTGCAGCCAGAGAAGCTGAGCCTGCACTTTAGTAGGACCCCAGGTGAGCCTCGCACACATGAAGGTTAGAAGCGTGAATTTACAGTAGGTTAAACGCTCTGGCTGGTTCTGAATCGTGTCCTTTGAGGTCTGAGCTCTCTGCACCATCACCAACTCTTCCCTCCTCCAGTACGAACACAACTGCTTCTCTGTGTTTGCTTTTCCATTGGGCCCACTGGACGCTTCCCAATACGCACATCTCAATCTCATGCTTGTCACAGACCTTCCTCTCCGCAGCGTTTTCTTCCTTCTACTCTCCCCTCCCCCACCTGGCGTCA